CGTTTTTTAGCGAGTTAGTTTTCTATGGAATGGGTTCGCTAATGTCATGACCAATACTGCTCCTTTATCTGTGCTTGAGACCGGGTACTGTAAAACACTATCTTTCTTAGTGCTATTTACAGGTATCACAGAATTATGCTGACACGTTAAAAACTGACTGAGAGGCAGAACTGTGTACACATACCAAATAACAATATATTTGTCAGTCAGTTACACCTACCGTACGTACGTACACCAGTTCACGTTGTCAAACAATACTAACAAAGAGACGCAATTGTTAGTTCAAATCCCATAGTAGTACAGGTAGAAGTATAAGCAGTAATAGAGAAGATTAATGTTCCAAGAAGTATAATTCAGTGAGATAACTTTAGAAAGAGAAAGACAGAGATGATGAATTCATGAGGTTAGAGTGAGAGAACACAATGAATGAATGTACCTGAGCCATGTCGTTCAAGGTCTCTAACCATCTATTACTTTCGTATCGCGGATCCACACCACGTAGCTATTAGTCCACTTGTCCGTGACTTCATGGATTTGTGCCACATTTTGTTTTGGCCGCCCTCCCTAGCTTTCTTCCAACTTACACTTGAAAACAGCTCGTCGAGGCAGTCGGTAGTTAGGCATTCGTAACACAATGTCTCAACCACTTCAATCCAATCAGTTTTACATTAAATGCATATCTAATCATCTTGTGAACCATTTTTTACATGTTTCATACATCTCCTTTACCTGATGTTATCCCACCTTACTACAACAATAAACAACCAAACACTATTAAGTAAAAATTTGATTTGATTGTTAAATATTACTTAAATATTCACACATTGATAATTTTGATTTTCCTCATTGTTATATTTCCACCATGCAAACGTTTATTCATACAACATAAACTAGATGACATTTTGTAAGAAAATATCAATCACCAAGATGAATTTTTTTCTTGTCATGAATACTATCTACCACATACAATGATGACAGTCAAATTTTAAATACAGACAACTAAATTTAAACATTTTTCTCTCGATAAAAATTTAGGAAATTGTCCCATGTGAAATGTAAAAAGAAACGATGACATGACTGAATTTTGTTACATGTCATATATAATATATTCATTCATATATTAAGCGAAACCATTGAAACCATTTAGTGAAATTCTGTTTCGTCAACCACATCTCTGAATTATATTGAAAATGTATACTGTTGAATGAAAGCATTCAGGTTATTCTTTTACAGTTATGATTTATTCTGAATGTGAGTACAGTACTGCAAAAGAAGGTTAAGGACAAAGCAGGTTGGCAGATCAATAGACGCAGTAGTGACACTTCATCAGTTAAGGTGGTTAGGACATGTGTTGCGTATGCCTAACCACCGACTGCCTCGAAGAGCTTTGTTTTGTAGTGTAGGAATAAGTTGGAAGAAAGCTAGAGGCGTCCAGACCAAAACACGGCAGAAATGCATGAAGTCATTGACGAGTGGACTTAGCCATGTCGGTAATTGTCGGCTACCTGGTTGGGGTCCGCGAGATGATAATAATCGATGGTTAGATAACTTGAATGACATCGTTCATAATCGTTCGCAATGGCACCGGTGCATTTATTCTATGTGTTCTCTCAAGTCCTAATCTTCTGGATTCTCCAAACTCTCTAGTTTTGACTTTCTAAACGTTTCTCACTGAATCATACTTCTTGAATCATATCTTCTAATTCTAACCTCTCTGATTACTTCTAATAACTTTACTACCTCTTCTACTATTGGATTTGAATTGACAATTACATCTCTGTGGTGACGTGTAGTATGGCAACATGAACTGATGTACTTACGTACGATGTTCTAGGTTGCATCTGACTGACTGACTGACTTGTGGAGATTGTTGAGTTTCAGTGAAATCATGAATTGATCGATGTTAGAGCATCATTAGAGTAATGTGACTTCTAACCATCAATGCGCATCCACGACTCCTATTCGCCGGAATCGAAGAAAATACCAGTATTCGACAATGTTAATATCTAACTACGATTTCATCCACTATTTTGCGCAGCCTTATCCTCTGTTTTCAGTAAACACTGCTTCACACTCGACATCATTGAACTCAACGGGTAATAATCACTTCTCATAAGAACTTGAAGATATTTCTTCATACAGCTAGCCATTAATTGAGGAGCACCTGAAAATTTTCTTTAATTATACAGTTGTGTAGATTGTTCATTAAAACAAAATTCTCAAAACGTGATATACAAAAAATATATATGTATATACATACTTATTATTTTAAATATTGCGTGAAAATAAATAAATGAATATTCTCTCTTCTTTTAATCATTCATTAATCATAGGTACTTCAATGATTGAGGTTAAAAGTTTATCATCATCATAATTATTGTTCAATGTACAATTTTTCTTTTAACACATTGTACACATTGTACAAATGAACTTTTTGCATGAAAAAAAAGAGGATTTCTGACAAGGCGAAAAAAATTTTTTTAGCGAAAAGTAAAACAAGAAGATATTCAACTGTGAGAACAGAGAAAGAAAGTAAATTATCACTTCAATGCAAGAAAAAAGCGCGCGCGCGCGCACACACACACACACACTTATAATTTATTGTTGTACATTTATCATCACGAAGATGATGATGATGATGATGACGACGATGATGAGAAGCGTTTTCCTCACTTTTAATTATTAATAAATAAATATTAAATAAATTTATCATTTTACACGAAATTATTTTAAAGATAAAAGATAAAAATAAAAAGAGAATGCTCATGATTTGAACATATTTATAAATGAACATTACTTACTTACTTACTTACTAACAGTTGATTGGTTGATTCAAGGCATGTTACATTTTGTGAAATAAACGCACAAGTAGTCTCTAGTTAGTTAGTTAGCTAGCTGGCTGGTTGTACGTACATACTTACCTACGTACCTACGTACATACGTGTGTACTCACACATATAGACTCAACTGTAGATTATAGGTTGTTCGTTTGTTATAACATCAATTCACTATGTATGTATGCAGAGAGAGAGAGATGATTTTTATATAAGCGTAGGCTATTTTTTTTCGTTCCTATATAAAAATGATCTATGTAAGAAGTGTAAAATATCGTTGACATTGTTGCATTGATATAATATCACACGATAACCAAACAGTGTGAGTACATTTACACTGCATCATCATCATCATAAAGGAGAAACTCGACTGGAATTCACGAGTGTTTATTGTACAGAAATACAAAAAAATCTATTTAGATATATACACTTTTCTTTGCTACAATCAAGGTTGTGCAGTCACATTAAAAAGAAGAAAAAAACCGTACATTGAGTCACACATACACGTAATAACTACCAAACCAAGTATATCAAACTAAAAAAAACCGTTCTATCTATCTATTGTGTCAGTAGTAGTACTGAGTAGTAGTGAATGCTAAATTTGCAGCACGTAAGTCATTGTTTGTTATAAAATTTAAATAAGTCTCTCTTTTCTCCTTTTTAAATGCCCTTGATCAAATGTCAATTTTGCTGGTTGTAGCGTTTTGTGCTGGTAATTATTTTAATATTACTATTATTATTATTAGTAGTAGTAGTAGTGTGGTGCACGCTACTTATGTTCACGTAAGTAGTATATGGTATCAAACGGAAATCAAACGTCTGACAGCAAAAGATCGAGAAGGAAAGAATGAGAACGGAAGGCGACTTGTAGGTAATAACGTACAGTGAACTGAAGTTTGAACAGTCTAAATGAAAGAACACTGAAATCTGAAACAAATAAGGATTGATTTGCAAATGATGATTTCACGGGAAGGTTTTGTACATAATATGCTTAACAACTCTGTAATATTCGCTTAAATATAGATGTTAATGTCCTCACCTGAATTTTCGTGCACAACATTTGGTGTCGCTGCCAGGATGAAGATACCGCGGTTGAGGTAGTTCGAAAAAAGGAGAGACCGAGGACGAAAACTCAGGTGAGGACATCAACGTCTATATTTGAAAGCGAATATTACAGAGTTGTTAAGCATATATACAAAACCTTCCCGTGAAATCATCATTTGCAAATCAATCCTTATTTGTTTAAGATTTCAGTGTTCTTCCATTAAGACTGTTCAGACTTCAGTTCACTTTACGTTACACCTACGAATCGCCTTCTATTCTCATTCTTTCCTTCTCGATCTTTTGCTGTCAGACGTTTGATACCATATATTACTTATGTGAACATAAGTAGCGTACACCACAGTAGTAGTGATGGTAGAACAACTGTTTATCCACTTCCCATAGTAGTAAAGATAGTAGAAGTATTAGCAGTAATCGGAGAGATTAGGTTTTGAAGATGTTATTCAAGAAGTATAATTCAGTGAGGTAAATTTAGAAAGAGAGAAAGATAGAGGTGATGTGGGATTCAGAATGTTAGAATTTCATAGAACACAAAGAGTAAATGCACCGGCTCCATTGCAAACGGTTTTGAGTCATGTCACTCAAGGTCTCTAACTGTCGATTATTATCATCTCGCGGACCCAAACCAGTTAGTCGACACCTACAAAAACATGACTCAGTCCAATTTTCAGCGACCAAACACTGGAATTACTAGGTATTTCTTAGAATTTTTTACACACTCAAATCATGAGTTAATCATCATCATCATACTACCATTAAAAACCTGGAAGCACTGGATGGCCGTTTCGTTCTGGTAAGGGACTCATCAGTGGCAGTGCGGATCCATAACTCCTGCTCTCTACAGGATTCAAAACCAGGACCTTCAATTTTGTGCGTGAACGCTTAACTCTTGAACCGATGAGCCTGTGATATCAATTGTGTTAATTATTTATAAAATATAACTGTTCCGTAAAACGGTTTAACCATTCAGTATAAGTAGGTATAATAACATAGAACAGAAAAAACAAAAACGGAATCTTCAAGAAACACAGCCAACTGATAAGATTAATATCATGCAATTAAACACTAGGTATTTCTTAGAAATATTTATAAAATTTAATCGTTCATACGAAAAAAACACACAACACTGTTACTAATCGTTATCAGTGTAAAGAATTTTTTTTGTCATGTCAAGAATAACTATACTCGTCAAAAATTATATTTTCTTATTTAAAAATGTGTTGAAGAATAAATTAAATTGTAAGTACATTCACTGTTTTCATATTTATAATGAATTCCGTTTCCAAAATTGTCATCCATTCAGTAAAGCGAAAATACTAATCTAAATTAATTCATCTGAAATATGTTTCGTGGTGTAGGAGTAGGTTGGAAGAATGCTAGGGGCGGCCAAACCAAAACATGGCACAAATCCATGAAGTCACTGACAAGAGACCTTGAACGACATGGCTCAGAATGGTTTGCAATGGCGTAAGTGCATCCATTCTTTGTGTTCTCTCAAATCCTAATCTTATGGATTCGTCATCACTTTCTCTACCCTTTGTCTTTCTAACCTTATCTCACTCAATTATACTTCTTGAATAATATCTTCAAACCCTAGTCTTCTTCATTACCATTAATACCTCTACTATCTTTATCACTATGGTATTTGATTTGACATTTGCATCTCTATGTGCTAATGTGGTATGGCAACATGAACTTATGTACATATGTACGAAGTTCTACGTTGCAACTGACTGACTGACTTCTGAAATATACTTCTCCAATTATATCTTCAAACACTAATAATTTTTTGATTACCACTAATACTTCTACTAACTCTACCTGTAACACGAAGGGATTTGAATCGACAATTTGATCTGTATGTGCTAATATGTGTAGTATGGCAACTTGGACTGATGTATGTACGGTATGTACAAATATTCTGTGTTATAGCTGATTAAAACTGAATGTAAACGTCTACTTCTTAAATAATAATTCTATAATAATACAATAAAAATTAACTGTTTTAAATTTCGCGGAGTATTTTTTTTGGTGATTTAAAACAAAACCAAAAACCATCCATTTGACATTGAGCAATTTTTAAAAAGTTTTTTTTTTAATTCGATAAATATAATTAATTTTAATTAAAATAAAATGAATAAATCACAGAAATGTTACGATTGTTACATAAAACTGATTAAGTAATCAAGAAATATTGATATATATATATATGTACACATTAATTTAGGTAATAGAAAAAGGCGTTGACAAGTATATGTGTGTGTAGGTAGACCTTACATGCCGTAATTGTTAATGTACATACACACTTTAGTGTATGTAGTCTAAGGTCAGTCAAATTGACCATCCAGTGTACTTCCAAATTTTTCTAATGCTAATTATACCTAGTTAAGATTATTTGTAATTTTGAACTAGTACAATCAATCATTACACAAATCAGTTAATTGATAAATGAACATTGAATACAATGACAGAAGAAAAAAAATACTTCCGACATATGCGATACAAACAAATTTAAAAAAAAAATTGAACACTATATAATTTTCATTCTAGTTTTCTACCAAACTATTTTTTTTCTCTTTTACCCCTAATAAAAATTTTTTTCTAAATAGTAAATATTCTTATAAATAATTAGTAATAATTAGTAATAATAATAATAATGACAATAACAATTTGTTTTATATTTACTATGACATGTTTGACTTGAAATGAAAGCGTTAGGCATTTCCGTTGTTTGTTTGTTTTTTTAAAGTTTCTTTTCTGGCTTCTTTGTTTGTTTAAATAGATCAAATTCACAATCGACTTGATCATTGAATAAGCGTATAATTAATTTTCAAACAAGAAACAAAAAAACTCCCATTTGTTTTAGAAAAAACGGAAATTTGTGTAAACAATCAATTAATTGTCCATTTGTTTTATGAAGATTAATTTTCAAAATTGTTCTCGAACTAATAGAATATTTTTATTATTTAGGAGAAACAATTTTTTTTACAGATGAAAATGATCTTTCATAGTTAGTTAGCTCTGTTGTGTATTGACATTAGTTAAAATTTAACAGAAAGATGCAGAAGTCACTGAATGAATAGGTAGGTATCACTCTATTCTTGGTTACTTACTTACTTACGCCTGTTACCCCCAATGGAGGAGCATAGGCCGCCCACCAGTTTTCTCCAACCAACTCTGTCCTGGGCTTCCTTCTCCAGTTCTGTCCAATGTTTGTTCATTCCTCTCATATCTTTCTCTACTTCACGGCGTAATGTATTCTTTGGCCTTCCTCTTTTCCTTTTGCCTTCAGGGTTCCATGTGAAGGCTTGTCTTGTGACGCAGTTAGGTGCTTTTCGTAGTGTGTGTCCTATCCACTTCCACCGCTTCTTCCTGATTTCCTCCTCCATTGGAATCTGGTTTGTTCTCTCCCACAGTTCGTTGTTGCTGATGGTGTCTGGCCAACAATCCGAAGTATTTTGCGAAGACAACTGTTCATAAATACTTGTTCTGCAAGTTTCCACTCCATACAGTAGAACTGTCTTGACATTTGTATTGAATATCCTGATTTTGGTTTTGTTTGTTGAAAGTTGTTTGGAGTTCCAGATATTTTTCAACTGTAGAAATACAGCCCTTGCTTTGCCAATCCTCACCCTTACATCTGCATCGGATCCACCTTTGTTATTGATGATGTTCGCACAAAATTATAATTTAAACTACCTCAAAAAATTGATTTCACTGAGATATACTTCGTATACTTCATATCTTTAAAAAACCTTAATCTTATTTATGAATTACTTATACTGTTACAATGTTGACTATTACTAAGTGATTTGAAATGACAATGCCATCTATTATGTAGTATAGCAACTTGAATTGATGTATGTACATAACAAATTCTATGTTGTAGCTAACTTGATTGTTATTTTAACTATGTTTAAAGCTCAATTCACGTAATAGAGTTCTAGGAAACGGTATATGGCATACATGAATTAGAATTCTTGTGGTGGTAGTGTGTTTGGTTCTCTGAGCTGGGGATGTTTTGGTTGTGGAGCTTTCATTGTTCTTCTTCTGAACAACATCAGAAGAACAATGAAATCTCCACAACCAAAACATCCTCAGATCAGAGAACCAAACACCACCATCACCACCACAATCATCCACCTGAGCTACAAATGCTTCTTCATCAACTTACAATTATTCATTTACTCGTTTTATCTTTCGGTAAATCTTAAATAATAAAATTTATGCTTGCTTGATTTAATAAAATACAATAGACACTATTTCATTTCATCGGTAACCTGGTTTTATCATAATTCTCTTAATGGAATTGTTATGTATACAATTGAGTTGAAATGAATTTCTAAACTAAACTAAACTAAACTTAAAAAAAAACGGTTCACTAACTTAAAATTCGAAAATGAATAAATCAAGTTTATCTTATATTTAGTAGTTTCAATCGTTTTAAAAAAAAAAAGAAACCTGAAATCATACACCATTTTAATCAGTCAGTCATCTTATCACAGTCTTCTTATGAGTAAAATATCCAATTCGTAGGTAACTTCATTT